ATTTAGAATAAAGATGCATGCATGTTTATTCCAAAAAGGTTTTAGCAGAGTGAATGGCTTCTTTTAGTTCCTCAATTATTCCTGGTTTTTGTTCTCATATACGGTTTGAAAAAGGAAAATTAAAAAATTATCTGGTGGATTTAAGTCAACTTTGCTGGGTTCAAATGGGTGCCAGTCTGACAGTTGGAAACCATTTAAAGTAGGAAATTGATTTAAACAATTTTTATTATAAAAACTTCGAAATAGTAAAGTAAAATGGAAAAACGCAAAGCTAAAAGCAGCTAAAACCAGATTCGTCTTATGTAAACAATTTAAATAAAAAGTTGGAAACCAAAAACAAGCAAATTGAAATTTTAAAGATATGTATGTAAGCAAAAACGGCATTTAATCAGGAGGCTGACAGGAGTCCTTCTGCAGTCAGTGGTTCAACCAAAATGATGGTTCATCGGTGTTTCAACCCTTGATGGTTCATAATGGAAAACTAAATAGGAAAATGAAACACCTCGAAAATTCAAATATTGAAATACTATTCAAATATTAAATATAAATATTGAATATGTGAAACTGTGAAAGCACTAAATACACTGAGAAAACACTAATAAGAACATGTCTACATATAAGAATAATAAAGATAAAGTTACAGTTAGAAAAACCATTTGAAATATAAATTGCCAGATTTCTACACATTTAAATGAAATTTAAAAATCGATAGTGCTGACCCCTTTCGAGAGCCTGAGATTCTGACCCCTGAGAATAATAAAGATAAAGTTACAGTTTGAAAAACCATATGAAATATAAATTGCCAGATTTCTACACACTTAAAAGAAATTCAAAAATCGATAGTGCTGACTCCTTTCGAAAAACTTGAAAAAGAGAGCAAAACAGTCAATGATTAAAAAACTATCCAATAAAGTACTGCCATCTATATTCTTGAATTATCATTCTCTATAGTTTTTCTTCTGAGTTTTCAGCAGTAGTATCAAAAAAAGATATCTCACATTATCTGAAATCTCCAACTTTCTTCAAGAAAAAATCGTAGTTTCGCTTCTATTGTAACCTGAATTTCTGAAAATTGGGTTCTATAAAGATTTCCTCCAATTTTCGACATCGATTTTCTAAGAATTGCACATCGTTCTAAATCGTTTTTCTAATTCTGCATGATTCACGTTCCATAAAAGGAAAAGAATTGTCATGTGCTATGACAAAGAGCAGAGGAAGAGATTTAAAAAAGATATCACTGTCAGGGGCGAAGTTTTTTTTGTTTCCTTGCTTCCAAACGTTTTCATACAGCGTAATTAGATTCTCAAGTTACGCTTTTAAATGACTTGTTCTTATTGATGTCACAGGAAAACCAGAAAGCTTCTAACATTTTTCAGCCTTTAAAATAAGGAATTTTATGGTATTATTCCTTTTATCTTGCATGTATCCACGATTGAAGCACATCCAGGAAAATTGAGATCCTTCATTTGGGTCCTAATCTTGCTGTAAATAACCTATGAACCACTTCTTAGATACTCTCTATTATCATCTGTGACGACCAGATGGTTTCGTGGGGAGCGATTTGGTGAACTAATACTTCTTAAGGAGATTCTTGTTTTAATTAAAGTTTTTCCAAATACGCTGAATTTCTTTAATTTATTTTTTTAATTAAAGCTGCAGTAGAAAAGCAATACTAGAAAATATTTTTAAATTTTGATAGCACTTAATGCATGGACATATAATTATCATTTATTTATATGCATTCTGTAGGGAGAATGTTTTTTTAAATCGCATTTATCAGACGAAACATAAAACTTATTATTTTGTCTCAAAAATGTGATTAGACAAAATGCCTCATTTCGCTATTACTAGAAAAAAATTCTCCGGAAACAACGAAAATTTTGGCAGTTCGGTTAAAAAATGGAAAAGAGAAAAAATTATATGTTACGATATTTTCGATTCCCGTTCACAATGAAAAACTATTTGTCAGGTAAGTGGGCCTCAAAACATTAACTACAAAGCGGAAAAATTACAGTTGATAATTTTTCAGTAATTCTGAGAATATGAGAGGAGAGCACTGAGGACTTTCAAAAAAAAAAAATTTTGCTACGACCTTCACTGATTGTTTGAGGTACATTTGTCATTTATGTTTTCGAATTTGTATCAAAATGAAAAGTTTTGCTATGTATAATGTGGTTTCTGTTTACAAAATAGATTGCTTTTTCAAAAATTATAGAAATACCACTGTAGCTAGGGATAATTTTTTTCTATCCTGTGTCAGGCGATAACAATATTAACCACATATAAAATCATGATCTAAATTTTACAAAAAATATGGTTCACCCAAGTCCTTTGGTATTGGTGACAAAAGCGTTTATGAAAATTTGTGGAATGAAACAACTTATACATCACGTTTAACATAAGATGGAACAATATCCTGTAAGAAGGGTAATCAGACTGACCTTTGCCTTCAACTGCACTGAGAAAAATTTGCACCAGGTCAGATGTTCCAAGATTGATAAGTTAATAATTTGATGATATTTTCAAAATATTCCTATATAAATATTTTAAACTTTTAAGCGTGAACATAGACGAACTGTGGATCAGAAGTGCTAACTGAATTCAAAAGTGCAGAATTTATCTCAAGAATACTTTTCTATCCATAGAATTCTAACACGAATGCATCCGGATATATTCCATTTCAGTATTTCGAAAGTAAAGATTTTTTTTCTCTTTCGATTTTCTAAAATTTGCTAAGCCGTGAAATCTTTCATTGTAGCATTAATAAATCAATATATAAACTTTTAAGTATGTTAATTTTACAATTTGTGCCTCACTCAACTCTTAAACATAAATTAAAATCTAAGTGTAACCGAAGTTAATTAGAAAAATTCAACGAAAATATTAAAATTTCTATTCTTAGCAATGTTTCTTTCACAACTAAGATGTTTTAATAAGGTAGAGAAAATCTTTCTTCGAGATCAAAATTGGAAGCATAGCTTAACCAAGCAAATCCTTTAAGATATTTAGATAATTAAACACTCCAACGTTTCAGAAATCAGTTTTAACAAAAGTTTCTTTTCACAGCTAATTGGTGTGGAACCATGAGAACTTCTGAATCGCCTTAGGTTTATTACATATCTTGTTATCTTAGTAAATTATTTCCAGCCCTTGAGCACAATCTGAGAATAAAAGGTACGATCTTAAATAATAAACCTTCTAAGATCTAACTTAATACAACAGGCATGTTGTACCTCTAGGGCATTTGGAGTGAATATGTTTGTTCAACAAATTGTAACAATCTAAAACTAAAAAGAAACTCTATTCCGTGAGATTGAGCTGGTTATTTGATGCTCAAAGCAAACGTTCTAATTATTTTAATACACTTAAAGGTCAAATTCAGTTAGGCAACAGTCTATTTACGTAAAATCAATAAAAAAAACGCATTCACAGCTCCAGTTAATTATGTTTACCATTGTTCAAAATACGTTTTTTCTGTAATTCTCATTTGTTTAATCACAGAATATGGAAGTTTTTTGCGTTCATTCTATTTTCGCTTCACTTTGTTATCGAAGATAATAAGAAAATCTTGATTAATAAAAGAGAATAGTGTTATCCATAGAGAATTTTAGATATAAAATTATTTTTTTTAATTATTCTGCTTTTGTAGCATATTAAAATAATGGGAACAATGAAGTGAATAATTGTTTGACAAAAAGATCTTTACTTTTGCATCGTTTTTTAAGTCACACAAGGAAAATAAATTAGTTTTTATTCAGCTAAAAACAATGAGGAAGAAAATTGATTTTCACTTTTTAGTACTTTTTTTATTTACCTTTTCTATAAGGTGATAAAAATTTGCTTAATTGTTTGAATATAATTTCAATATTATAATTTGCACCTTCTTTTAAAACGGAAATTAATAAAAGTAAAAAAAATACGATTATTATTCCTTAAAAAACATTACTTAGGCTTTTATAAAAATAAGCTTTAATTAATATACGTAAAATTAATTTCGCATATACAATTGTTATAAAATTTTTCTTTAGAATAAACATTTTCTTGAAATAAAAATTTAATTCCTATAAATACCCTCTTCCAAAAATATATTGTCTTTCTGATGTTCTCAAATAAAATTTTAATTTTTTGTAAACTGGAAAATACAACAATTCACTGGTATGTGAAACATAAGGTAGAAGAGCTCAAGGCAATATTACTGAATCACATTTAAAAAATTATTCACATAATACATAATATTGATGTTCAACTGATATTTTAGACAAGAATTATTACAATAAGTGATAAGGTGTTTCTGAGGACATCTAGAGAAATTTCTAAAAACATGCAAATTATAGATTTGGAAACAATACTAAGGAACAATTTAATGGAACAATTATACCTTGAAAAAATTGGCTTTGAAACAAGTCTCATCAATTGAATTAATTTAAGTTCAAATTTATTTTTTTATCAATATTTACAAATGAAACTTATAAACAAAAGTTGAAAAGTTGTTTGTTTGATGTAAGAGAAACAAGTTTTTTTCTTTCGTGCCAGGGTCCGAACTTTTGATCCTAATGAAATGAAGTAGGGCTTTTATATATAAATTAGTTAAAGAATTGTATTTAAAATTTTGTTGATTAATATAAAGTTTATGAGTGTTTTTTTCCATCGAAATATTATTTATTTAGTATTTAATATATCATTTTTAGGAGAAAAATCAATGACAGCATGATATTTCAATGTTGTAGAGTGAGCAATGTTCCCACAAAAGGCATGGATTATTTGTATTTTTCAGGTTATTTGTGATAACGGTACACACGTTAACTGTTATAAATATTGAGCCTATCTCTTATTGAGAATTTGTGTGCAAATACTTTACACAAAACATTTCTTAATTCCTTGCTAAAGTTTAAATAGCTTTAATAAACTTCAAATTAAAGTGATATCAACTTGTTATTGAGGTTATTTTTTGTTCTGAGTTAATCTACACATTAATTTACAGAGATATCATTTATTTATAGTTTTGCAACAACCTTATGAAGTCCATGTGTCAGATCATTTTGTAATAAGAGGAAGTACTGCTGTATTATTGTGTCATAGTCCACCAGCCGTGAGATCATTCATAAAAGTAATGCTGTGGTTGCGAGATGATGGAGTCAGCATTGGTTCACCAGGTACAATAGGTCAGTATAATTTTACTAACTTTAATTATAAAACTTACGCAACTTTTATGTAACCCTTACTATGAGCGTGCTGATGATAACAGTCTTAGATGAGCTGGAGTTTCCAGCTGCTTACGAAATACCTACTACAAACCTTGATCAAAATATTGTAATTGCTAACGAAATGATAAGTAATAAATAAAACCCAGGATAATACACGTGCAATAAACATGAATTTATTGACTAACACTTTAGAAATCATTATTCACACACTGTGAATTAAGATTAATAATAAAGGTTTATATTGAAAAACTACTTTATCATTTAATAGTACTTAACATGGAAACTCCAATTATATACTATTGTAACGTAAAAACTACTTTTTTTGTTGATTTCCCATGTATGTAAAAGTTTTCACATATTTTGTTCCTTTTGTTTTCAGTTTTAGAGCAGTCTTAATCAGTACCAAACATACTGATTGTTCCTATCTTAGTTTATTTACTACCTCTTAAAATTGCATCAATTGCCAAAATACTATAAGAGCCTATTACCAAAATTGAATAAGCAACATAGGCGTCAATAATAAATGTTTTTTTTTACCTTCTTCTAAGCTAATTAGTAACGTTTCTACATTAGTTTCGCTCTTTTGAGCATAGTTTTTTTTTGTTTCAATTTGTACTTATTACAAAAAATAATTAAGCATTTTTCACTAAGAAAAATACTATGGGCAAAGCTACAAGAATATAATAAAGTTTACCGTGTATTATTTGGCACTATGGACATACCAAGAAGCTCAGTAATATTTACTGAAGTGCTTTAGTAATGATTTTGTCAAATCAATAGTGAAATATAATTTTGTAATCTATGATAAAATTGTGCATATTTTTGTATTTTTATCATGATACTTTAGAGCATGATATTAAAACCATTTAGCCAGTTAAATTTACTTTTAATTTCTTTTATTTTATAATGAATGTGTGGTAATTAGAATTAAAATTTCAAAAACTAGAATTTCTGGTAAACCATTTCCTTTCGAGCAGAACATTTACAGAATTAATGGTTTAAATATCAAATATTTTTGCTTTATTAAAGAAAAATATGTTTTTTATTTCTTTTTCTGAAATTTCATTAACATACAGTGCGGTAATTGCACCAGAACATATTTTCAAAGTTATTTAAGCAAGTCAATAATAAAAATTTTGATGATTCTCCAAAACTAATTAGTATTATTCTTCCATTTATTTAACTTATATTTTTTATTTTAAATACTTTATTTAGGTTTATATAAGCACTTTTTTTAAGCATATATGAAAGCTAAAAGACGCATGGTCTTAAATTACTTCAAAAATAATAATTTAGTAAAGTAGCTCGTCTATGCTACCACGTTTATTGTGATCATTGAGTTTATATTTCATAACGAATAAAAAAATATGTAAATATCTGATATTAAACACTAAATTCTTTTTCTTGATGAGAGCTGTATGATAGCAAACATCAATGACTCAATATTTAAAATATTTGAAGGGACAAAATCATCTGTGATTTCATTATTATCAAATACCAATTCCATAATGTATGAAAAATATATAACTATGAAAAACATATAACCCATAAAATAACCACGTAATAATTCGATTAATGTCAATAACCACACAATGTGTAAATTAATTGCTTGTTGAATGTAATAAAAACAGCCAACTTTGAAGCCATAGTAGTTTGAAAATGTAAGTTTTTATAAAATCAAGCATCGACTTTTTCACGAATCATTTATTTATTTTCATCAAATGTCTCCAATAACAATCTTTTTATTTTTATTAGTTGATTTCTCTCAAAATACCAAAAACACAAACATTTATTTTGCTCGAGTAAAGATTCCCATAAATTTCAAAAGTGGTATTGACTAATACGATCTACAAGCTTAGTTGTCAATATTTATTCAACAGCGTTGAGTTTTATTGTGGACATAGCTGTATTTATAGGAGCGTTCGAGCAGCAACTTTTGTAAAATGTCACCACATCAAATTTTTTACAGCATTTTTATGGTACACGTGTCTGCCATTTGTACCGAAGATATGGTATATACTGAGTTGCACTGAAAGTTTACTCATAGAAACCAGAAATTTATGTCAACATTTGGATCTTCCCCTTTTTATTTTCTAAAATTCAGAGTAGTTTTCTTCTTTGCGTTTTGGCTCGTAAATTATTGGAGAATGGTTGTTTTCGTTAAAAAGACTCATGAAATAAAAGATCACCAATATTATTGCGTAGTTTTTACGATAATTAAAGAATGTTTTTTTTAAAGATTGTTACCAATTTTTGATGAAATTGTTTACTTTATCTCAATGAAAAAGATAATTAATAGCATTTTTAAATAGAAGTCGTTAAAATTATCTTGAAAAATCATGTCAGATGTATTTTTTTTATTTATGTGTTATAAAATTACGAATAAATGATTTATAATTAAAGGTGAACATATTGACATTTAGGAAAAATTTTCCAATTGATTCTTTAACGAATCTGTTTCTTCTTTATTTTACGTTTCGTCTATGACATGAAAAAATGTTTACCTTTGTGTACTTGTTTTTGCATTTTTTTTTAACAATACTATCTGAGTTTCCAATATATTTCTTGAATGTATCTTGTTCTAGTCTTATATTACAAGTTTTTTTTTAAAGTATTATTTTTTTTATTGATTTTCAAACTGTCTTATAGCAAGATTGATTTGAATATATATTCAAATTAACTATGCATTAGTTACTTGTTATTGACTAAGCTCCATATTTCTGGTTGGTGTAATTAACGCGGTTCGCTCAAACCAGCTGCAGTTAAAATAATTTTCTATGTTGCTGAAAAAGATAAAAAGAATATTAAACATTATTTATATTTTAATCCATTATGTAGTAGTATGTTTTTTGTCCATATTATTTTATAATAGAAAAACAATTATTTTTAAATCAAGAATTATGACAACATTTTAAAACTATGAATCAGTTTAATCAAAACTAAGGAAATCAAGCTAGTGCTCAAATTTTAAAATTGAAAGCAATTTAGAGTATGAATTACTTTTTCCATGCCATTAATTGCTCTACTTGCTCCACGTCAGAAAACTACACTGTAAGAAATCAAATTACAGTAAAAAGTACTGGCATTTTGGATGCCAGTACTTTTTGCTGTAAAATCCATTTTTATTATTTAACTCTTATGGAACAAAGAATCCAATTTACCATAAGTTTAGCTGAAGTACTTACTATAAAGTAACAAAATTACTGTAGTTAAATAAATCTTAAAAACAAAGGTATAAAGCTTTACGGTGAAAATAAATGTTACTCTTAACTGTATTTTACAGATGATGTACACATCGTGCCAGTACTTTTTACCATAAATTGATCCGGATCCGCCAGTGTAATTAATTATTATATCTGCCTCATCTAATAAAATATAATTAATCTATGTAACCTTGATGTGAAGACCTTATACTGTAAGAAATTCAAAAAATTACGGAATGAAGTGACTGCGCTTTGAGATCATCATCCGTACTATCCATTTTAATATAAAATATTATACCGTAATTATTACAGTGATATTTATTTAATTAGAATTTTTCAGTTATTTTATAGTAAATATTACTATAAAAATTACCTATATCAGATTTTTGGTATCGTACGATTTTACGTTCTAAATGATCTCTGCTGTAAAAAGTAGCGTCACTCAGGGAACTAGTACTTCTTTACGGTAAATTGATTCTGGTTTTTCAGGGTATCTACTTTATTACCTTTTTGATGATTCTGTTTTTCGACAATGAAGAAGGCTTTTGTGTACAAAATTCTCTCCTTAGATATGTTTCACTAACGTTATTTATCTATATTCTTATAGCTAAGATTTCGAAAAAATTGTTAAATATATTTAATTCAGACAGTTTGTTCTTATTTGTTAAAATATCATAATAATCTGTTTTGAAAAATAACCTTTGAAATTACAACTTTGGGAAAGTACTGATATTTTGGATACTTTGTAAAGATACTGATTAATTAAAAAAAATTAATATGAAGTAACAAAATGTGTAAGAAAGATAAGAAAGGGAAGAGAGAGATATTAAATACATTTAACAGATTATACCTTACCTTAAAATACAGTATAAACTGTAATATCTATCTATCTATCTATCTATCTATCTATCTATCTATCTATCTATCTATCTATCTATCTATCTATCTATATATATATCTATATATATATATATATATATATATATATATATCGTTATCAAAATCTGGTTTATATGGATCCCCTTTTTCCAGGTTTTTAGTTTTTTTTTCTAACTTTTCCGAAAATATGCTAGTGTTTACCTTTTACTTGCAAAATGAGGTAAACTTTTAGTATAGTCGACTTGTTTTTGCATTTTTTCTATGCATAAAAAAGAAATACATATTATGTTTAAGTAGCACTTTGGTTTGTTTAAAAAAAGTTCTATGTTTTATTTATTTATATTAACCACTTAAATATGTAAAAACGTTTTAATTTAGTTGTTCGCTATGTGTTTGGAACAAAACATAATCTAATTTCGCTGCTAATTCAGTTTTAATATAATGCCGGTTATGTTTCAAACTTAATTTTGTCAAAAAAAGGTTCATTAACATGTTAATTAAAAATGCTTTTACAGACTTAAAAAATCGAATCAGTAATATTGAATTGAAATTTTGTAATAAAAAAAACGTATTTTGTATTATATTTTCATCAAATTTGGTTTTCATATCGCATTATATTGTTAAAAATATATTAATGCTATAAATATAGATTTATGGTGAATTTGCTTTATGTTTGTGACAATATATCTAATATATATTGCAATAAATGTGATTCTTTTTTTCATATTTCGCGCTTTGGAACTACTTCCGCATAAAGGTTCATAATATGACATGTTTCATATAAGATATGTTTGTATAAGTTTCATAATACGATATTGATATACATAATTTGAAAAATTTCAAAAATTCACACTGAAACAATTTTATCCAACCCAT